CGCTCTGGAATGGCATTCCTTTTCTGATGACGTCAGTTTGACGGCTTGGGCAGAATATCATTAAACACAGCCCTCCAACCATTAGATTGCTATGAGTGAGAGACAGAGAGGACGAGCGCAAACATAAAAAATCCGTGTATCATTCGATCATTCGTTTTTTTGATTTAATATTGAAAGTAGAAAAAATAGAAAAAATAGAGTTTTAGCTTTTAGTTTTAATTACTTTTTCTTATTTGTAAGTCGCTTTGGATAAAAGCGTCTGCTAAATGACTAAAAGTAAAAGTAAAAAAAAAAAGCCTCGGTAATGTTTCTCACTGCTCGAACTGATGCGGCGGTTGCTATGGTTTCCAACTCCTACTTTGTGAGCTGAACGTCAGCACAATGTGCACACGTGACACACAATACCGTATACGTTCTACTCAGAACATGAGCTGAAGAGGCGTTCGCCGTACCTTTGTCCAAGCTATCCAAACGCGAAAATCCCATAAAGTGAGTAATCCTCGCTCTTATGCTATACATTTTGAAAGAGAAAAAATAACGCAACAGGATCGCCATTAGAATTTAAAGCATGTGGTGTGAAATGAGAGAAATAAACGTTAATAGGTAGCATGAGACTACTGCTGCTTTAGCTCGCTGGCTAACTGATGTGAAGTTCCACTCTCCATCATTCAGCTTTACAAACACATAATCTCACATACATTCAAAGAAATATCCTCAGTTTTACACATTTTCCACCTCATGTTACATTATATAGCACAGTGCGTCTTCGTCTTTCCAGGAAAGCTTGTAGCTTCTGTAAATTAGCCAGCTTAATAAAATAAACTGACACATGATTTGTTACGCATGTCAGTTTTTGTGTTTATATTTTTATTTATACAGTGCAGCTCTATGACAGTTAAATAGATACATACACTTTTGTTGCAAAAATGGCTAATTTTCATCTAATTCTGCACTGTAGAGGATACTTGCAGATGTGAATACAATTTACAATCATTTAGTTATTTTTAATTGTTTTAGATGATTGTATTGTACATTTATGTGTGTTATTTTGTGTTAAATTTCTTTCTAAAAGAAATCTCACTGGGAAGTGTTATAAATTATTTCTTTATCTAGTGGATCGGGGGTCGAAGCGGCGGCAGGTGAAGCCTTTGGCTGACTCTTTGCTGGATGCTCTGGATTATGACAGCTCAGATGACAGTGATTTTGAAGTTGGAGATGCGTCAGGTAAACAACAACAAAAAAAACCTCAAAACCCATTCTTGTCACGATGTAAGTGTTTGTTATACTGAAAATGTCAAAAAATGGTACTGTGGATCAAGTGGGTCTGTAAAATAATGACAAGTAGTGGTGGCAAGTCTCATACAGTTGAAATATTCAAAACATGACTGATGGTTACATTTATATTTATACTGCAGACGGCCATTTTAGACTTGGCCCCTGCATGGGTTTTCTCACCTGTCATGAAAACAGCTGCTGAGGTGGAGATGAGACCTTTATCACCACGTGCGTCACTGTTTTTCCCCTGCCTGTTGATTAGACCTCCTGCATTGCATTAGCACATAACACTGAAGTCACATAGGCAATGGCTCCATATCACCATGACAGACTGGAGGTTAACGCAAAAAGCTATCCCATCAAGCTGCTGTCAACAAAAGTGCAGGCATATCTGCAACCTGATAATGAAATTCTAACACTTTGACACCTTTGGGTCTTGTAGTTTTGCTGCATGTAGGAATTTCTGGTAAGAAATAGCATGCAGTGTCAAATTACTCTGATCTGACAATATATCATTGTCATAGGCTGTATAAACTTATACAGATGTATTAATTACCAACCACACATTCATAGTTCATGGCGGTGTTAAATGCATGGCGCTTCACATTTCATGAAGCCTTCTGTTGATGTTACATGGAAGAAAGAGTTTCCATGTTTATTCACTTAGATTTAAGCAGATTAATCACTCAGATTAATATTCACTCAGATTTAATCAAAGTTTTCAAGATTAATTTGCAATTCAACATGCAGCAAAGTTATATGAGCAATAAATATGAGCTGAATGTAAATGTGGAGTTTAGATTTTTACTGTAAATATAATATTTATTTTAACATAATTATGTTTATATTTTTAGAGAGGCAAGTATTTAATAAATTAAAACTGTTTAATATATATATATATATATATATATATATATATTTAAATATAACATTAAAGTGTTTAATTTCCTAAAAACATTTTACAACAAATAATAGTTTTAATGAGCAAAATGTAAAGCTGTGACAGATTTTTTGCATTTTTTAAAATATATATTCTTTATCCATTTTAACTGTTACTTCATAGACTATTACACGTTTCTCTTCCATTTTCAATCTTTATTAGCCAGCTAAAAAGACATAATCTTGCTTATGATGTACTAAAAAAATATAGTTAATTTTAATGTAAGAATATGTTAAAAACTTTTGGGTTTTGGAAATAGAAATTTGGAAATTTCTTTTTATCTTTTTTTTTTTTAATAGCATTACATTTAAACCATTTATAAATTGTTGATCCATTGTACATGAAACACTTGAACTGAAGCTTGCTGTCAGAAAAGTCTTTTTTTTTTTTGCATCACATCTGAAGTATGTTATATTCTGCCCAAAAAACAAAACAAAACAATAGGACGCTGCTAAGATAATCTCACATACTTGTGTATCAGGTTCGGAGGGCACTGGCAACGGAAGTGATGAGGAGGGTTCAAAGGACAGCGTTGGGGGCTCTGAGAGTGACTTTGACGGTGTTGGCTCAGCCAATGAAGAGGGCATAGATGATGAAGAGGCCAAAGAATTGAATGAAGACACTGAAGAAGAGGAGAAAGCCAAGGACCAGTCTTTTTCCGAGGAGACCAGCAGCAAAGAAGCAGGTGGAACCTCCAAGAATCGCAAAAAAGGAGAAAAATCCTCAGATACAGAACCGAATGGTACTGGCACCGCAGAGGAAAGCTCGGCAGAGCCGAAAAAATGGAACCTACGGCGGAACCGGCCCATGCTGGACTTCACTACAATGGAAGAGCTAAACGAAATGGATGATTATGACAGTGAGGATGACAATGACTGGAGGCCCACACAAGGAAAAAAGAAAGGCAAGGCATCATCTGGGAAGGAGAAAGAAGGGAGTCAGGAAGAGGAGGACGGAGGTAGTGATGAAGAGGACAATGAGGATGATGAGAATGAGACCAGTAGTAGTGATAGTGAGGAAGAAGGTAAGAAATCAAAGAGGAAAGCAGGCAAGAGCACGGGAGCGTTTGATGAGGAGGAGACCAATGACAGCCACAGCACATCCCATGGGAAGGGCAATGAGGTACATTCTCCTCTCACATTGCACTACTGTTTAAATGTTTGGGAGCAATAAGAAATGTTTTTGAAAGGAATTAATACTTTTATTCAGCAATGATGCATTACATTGATCAAAAGTGACAGTAAAGACATTTATAATGTTACAAAAGTTTTCTGTTTCAAATAAATGCTGTTCTTTTGAACTTTTCTTTTGATCAAAGAATCCAGAAAAAAATGCGTCACTGTTTTCACAAAACAATCAAGCAGCACAACAGTTTTTAACACTAATAACAATAAGATATGTTTCTTGAGCACCAAATCAGCATATTAGAATGATTTCAGAAGGATCGTGTGACACTGAAGACTGGAGTAATGGCTTTGCTATCACAGGAATAGAATAATAATTTTTTTAAATATATAAAAATAGAAAACAGAAAAATGTTAAATTGCAATAATTTTCCATAATATTACTATTTTTGATCAAGTAAATTGAGCCTTAGTGAGCATAAGAGACTTCTTTTAAAATCAGTGAAGAATCTTACCAACCCTAAACTTTTGAAATTAAAATTATTAACTTTACTCATTCATTCTCAAAACATAAATTCTATATTCTTCAGATTGCTCAATTGAATTGCTTTCTACATACTATATGGACTTTATCTCATGTATTTATTAAAGCTATTTTGCTGCAGTCTTCCAAGTATTTTCTCATTCATGTTTGTTCAAATATATACTCATACTGTAATTGTCGTAACTTGTACTTCATGTTTATTGTTAAGATTTGAATACAACTAATGCAAACAACTTCACAAAGTACAATTCAGATTTGATTTATTAATAAACTAGCCGTCTGTCTCCATCATTTACTGAAAACTGGTATGTGTGTGCCCTATTTTTCACACTGAGTGCAGACAAAATCAAATAGCTGATCTATCCACTTGTTTAAATTTGTCCAAAAGTTCAGTTGTATAGAATCAACTTGAATTCTCAAATGCAAGTGTATTATTGTGCATTTAGGAATACACAAGCAATCAGGTAATCCAGTCATTGGCTCACATTCCAACAGATTGTTGATACAAAAGAGCAATTCTTGTGAATGGGCTTATCTGAGAACTTCAGTTTATAGGATTGGTTAATCTTCCAATCTCAGAGTTGGAATTAGAACAGAAGCTTTTGAGTGGCTTTACTTTTTTGTCTCAATTTTTTTCCACACTGGTCCATTTCAGTTTTTTTCAGAGGAAGATATTTGGACTATGGTAGAGGACACTAGACTTATCAGTTGTAGCATCCCTAACTGGAGTTGGATTGCTAAATTATCCATTGCTTCCTCAGGACTCTCTGTTGGAACGGCCCCAGACCTGGAGCTCCCAGCGGATGGAGCATATCCTTATCTGCTGTGTGTGTCTGGGAGACAACAGCGAAGATGCGGATGAGATCATCCAGTGTGACAACTGTGGCGTGACCGTGCATGAAGGTAAAATCCCAAACTCTGCAGCCTGCCACCAGAAGACTCAGCTCAAATATTGATCTCAAATGTTTGCACAAAGTTTTGAAAAATGAGTTTTAAAATATATTTCAATATTCAGTTCCTCCTTTCCCAGTGCAAATCTCTAACTTGGACAAAAAAAGCTTAAAGGTGCACTCACATTTTGCACATTTTGGTTGTGAAATGTGTAGCAATTTTCAGAAATATGATGGTTACACACATGATAAGAATACTCCAGTCATACCAGTCTTCTAGAAAAAGCTCACGTTGATATCAAATGATTAGCCATGTCATGCAATTCATGCACATCATGCAACCGAGTTACTAATAATAATCAGAATTATTAGTTTATTAGTCAACCACTGGCTCTGCACCAATATACCTAAACTCGTTAGTTCAGACTTATGTGCCCTCCAGAAACTTGCGTTCTGCTCGTGGTGCCATCTCAAAGAGGCACAAAATCACTCTCGCGGACCTTTTCCTGCACTGTTCCCAGCTGGTGGAATGACCTGCCTATCTCATTTCAAGCAGCTGAGTCTTTAGCCATTTTCCAAAAATGTCTAAATACACATCTTTTACGTCAGCACCTGACCAATTAACACGTGGTGTTCATATTTTTGTTATTCAGCCAGTGTTCGTGGGTCTGGTGGACCCGCTGCATTTTTGGTTTTTCAATTCAACATAATCAAAAACTTTATTAAAATACTCAACAGATGTTTACTTCATCCCAATAACAAGCAATATAAACAACGTATATGGTTAATATTTGCCCTTTACTTTTGTTAGATCACATTTATGAATTAAAGTGCTACAACCTTGTGCAGGAACGGCAGGGGCAGAAACACTAAACTCACACTTACACTCACACTCTCACAGACGCTCTCTCTGACACACACACACACACACACACACATACTAATAGCAGACCCCGACAGGAGGAGGACAGAGTGAAGGTACACAGGACCTACAAATTCCACACTTTTATTAGCCCCGGGTCTTGTCACAGCACTTGTCTCCACCTTTTTCCTGACGAGCCTACTGCGTTTTGAATTATGGGTGGCACATTCCGTCAAGCAAAATGACGGAAATCACTTTGAAATAGTATCATGCTGAAGTTAATGAACATTTTTGATTAAGGCAATGTATGTTGCGTAATACAGATATATATTACAGTGATATTTCACCCGTCCGTTATTGCTGTGGAAAGAATCACAGTTTTGGGGTTATTCATGGTCTGTTGAAAGTACCTGTTCATGCTTTTACACATTTACATGTCATTTTAATGTTCAATGGTTGAAGGGGGAGTAGAATAATGTCATCTCATTATACCCAGTTTAAAAAAACAAACGTATTATTGTGTTCATAGAGCGAGCCTTTCACTGATTGTTTACAGCTTAACGGAAGTTACACCCATACCTGCACAAAGCATCATGGGGCGTAGGAAAAAGGTGAATACTGTTGCTCTCTTGTGGTCTGATTCTGCTTCTGTTGTTCTCCTCATTTGTAAGTCACTTTGGATAAAAGCGTCTGCTAAATGATTAAATGAATGATGTAGTTATGTTTACATTAGAAGGTCTGAAACCACTGGTGCTATTAGGATGAATAAGAAAACCTAAATTTTAGGTAGTTATTTTTCAGTTAGAAAATAATAAACGCTCAAGCAACAATTCTGTTCCTCTCAAGTTGATTGTGAAGCTCGTCTCATTGTACGCCATACACTTGCTATGCGCTTGTACACTAGATTGCATTGTCAAGCAAGCGTGAGGAGAATAAGCACAGAACGGAGAGTGATCTTCATCATCCCACATTATTAGCTCATTGTGACTCTGACTCGTTGGAAACAAAAATCAATTACGCTTTAAACCGTCTTGTAGCGGTGGCCGTCTCATTCAGACAGGCCCGCTTAACACCAGCCGGGCAGGCTGGATCAATATGTCACCACTAATTTTCAATTACTCACTGATTTATTTCTTTCATTATTTATTTACTGCTTGTTTCTGTGCTGATGTTCTGTTGATTTGCAGAAGCCTCACAGGTAGTTCTACACAGGGGAAAAAAAACTAGTAGAAGCCTGCTCTGCTTGAATGCATTGAGATTTTATGAGATTCAGTTTTACGTGAGGAAAGTGAGTCGCCGGCTGAGGAGAGTCAGTGGTCCACTGCGTGAGGAAAGTGTTTATACAGATGCACCGCCGGCCTATCTGTGGCAATTGTATAGTGAATTCCCGCGACAAGTCAGTAGTACGGTGGCCGTGAAGTGCAAAGAAAATCACAATTCTGAAAACAAAATAACAAATTACAAACGCAAATGCAAGTCTAAAAAACAAAATAACAATTCAGAAAGCACAACAACAATTCAGAAAACATTATAACAAGTCAGAAAACACAATGACAAATTTGAAAACAAAATAACAAGTGCTGTCTTGGCTGTCAAGTGCCTGGTTCCCACAGTGGCATTCAGTGGTAGTAAAGCTCTTCTATAGGGATGTATGTGTTGTAAGGAATTTAACTCATTAATTCTTGAGAAATTGAGAATGAGTTTTTGAGAAAGAAAATTGAAGGAATGAGTTAACGGAGTTGCATGAAGTTTCAAAGTTTCTATATGTTGTGAACGAACCTTCCAGTTCTGATACAAAGAAAGCTTTGTTGTCTCCTGATTGAATTAGTCTTTAATCACTCCTCTGAGTAGATGACGACAAGACTGGCAGGACGTCGACCCAGAATATTGGAGTCATGTGCTGGGGTGATTAGCAAACCTCATGATGGCTGATAGGGGCATAGCAGTGTCCGTTCATGTACTAGAAATCCCTACAGTGTGCTGAAGGTGTGAGGGAGTTGTACATTATCAACACTGTCATGAATTCACACACCACTGTGATGTAATACAAAAACCTGAACCTGAAGATGCTACCCTCTTCTCAGTCCCTGCATATTTTACAGATATTAATGGCATGCATTTCTCTGTTTTTATTAAGCATATGTTTAATACATTTAAATTTTGCCATCTTTCTATGAATTATATTAGTGATCATTAAGAAAATACATCCTTTACATTTAATCCGAGGGGGTGTACTCATTTATGCTGTGCACTGTATATAGGCTTTTATATATTCACTTACAATTCACTTACACTTACAGTTCATCCACAAAAGTTAGGGAGCATGAGCAATGGCATTTCTAAACAGCTGTTTGTATCAAGCAATTTTGTAATTTTTCAACTAAAAAACAAGTTTAATTTTAGGAGCCATTGGGTAGGGTCATTTTTAGTCTGAAGCTGTCAGTGGTGTTATCCAAGTCAGATAAGCTGCACTCTCAAACTGATAGCATGTCTGAGTTAGAAAAATGGTTAAATCAGTCACTGGCTCTGCCATCCTGGTTAGATGACACGCATACAACAACAGTGATCCATTCCAAGCAAACACACTTTCTCGTGCACACACACACACACACACACACACACACACTCACTCACTCACTCCTCCCCCTTTAGTGTCAGCTCACTGAAACAAGCTACTTCATAACCTAGCGCCACTGAATCAGAGGGCAACCTTGAAGCATCCAGGAGTCTTTACCGTGCCAAGAGCAGTGTTGCAGTGTCAGCACTCAGAGCCACACACTTCTCAGATTCATACACACACAAAGTATCTTGCTCTCCTCTTCAGGAGAGAAATAGAAAGTATAAAATGCAGTGAGGCCTATGGAGAAATGCAGAATCTGTTTTGCAGTCCTCCTCTCACTCTCTTCTTCTTGCTTTCTCAGTCCTGCTGTGGGAATATTTGAGGACTTTAAAAAGTGGCATGATCAATGCTTCACATCATGGTACCAGTAATTTAATAGTAACGACATATCACACTATAGTTGCTTTGTACTTGCTTTTGAGTTTAGCAGTAAAAATATATAACTTTTTCATGTTTTTTTTTTTAAAAATATACTACATAACCATATTATAATTGTTCTAATAGTATTTCATGAGAAATATATTAATTATGATTCAGAAGAATTTGGTATAATGGTACAAATTTGGTATTATTATTATTGTTATTACTATTATTTTATGTACATTAATTATAAGCAAAAGTACAAAAACAACTGCTTCATAGTGTATAACATTGAGCCACATTCAAAGTTGTAGTAAAACAGTGATTTGGTGAATTCTTGCACCAAATTGTGTTTCTAAAATAAAATTATTTAATTCATAATTAACAAATCTGTCTGTGTTAGAAACAAAGGTTTTAAAATGCAGTTTTGCAGGATGTCTACCAATATTATTTTTTTTTTAACTGTATAATCTTACATCCTGCATATGGTAATTTGGTAAATATTTAATTAAATACTATTATATATGCTTTATATGCTTGCCTTTTTTTTACTCCCTAATATCGGTATCGGTATCGGCCCCAAAAAACCCATATCGGTCGGGCTCTACTTTATATACAGGTTAGGTTATAGGATAGGTCAGCCAAAAAATTTAAATGTTCATAATTCACCTACTGTCGTCATGTTGTTTCAAACCTGTATGGCTTTTTTTTCTTCTTTGGAACACAAAAGAAGATATTTTGTATAATGTTGGTGACCAAATGCAGTGTTTGGTGACCAGTGACCTCCACTATATGGACCAAAAAACACTCTTGTGTTCCACAGAAAAAAGAAATACAGATTTGACAGAATTTGTATTTCTGACTGAACTATCCCTAGTTACCAATCTAACTGTAACAGAGTTGTTTGAACTGATCCAATATCTACTTGAATTATATTTTCCTATAGATCACATCAGGACAGAGAATGGCAGCAGCTTCCAAAAGGGGTTGGACAGCTGTTTCAGAGCAAAATTCTTGCCACCTGCTAGTACCAGCTGCTCCATGGTACCAGTATTCCCAGTGGGAGAGGGCATGATTGGTCCAGGAGGTGGGGCGGCCCTCATGGCTGACTGTGTCACAAATGCTCGCTTGATATTTGTGCACTAGTTTGAAAAGGTGACCTTTAGACAAG